TGGCTTCAATACTAGTTGAATCATCTCGTGATGCAACTTCTGTGCGTCTCTCGCACAGCGGAGGCAGAGCAGCAGAGGAAGGGCAGCAGCAGCAGGAACACAGTGGACACAACCGCCATCTTCTGCCATGCCTTCAACCACACGCCCAGCTGCAGTCCGTCACATTCAGTAGCAGCAACACTGTCAGTGTGCTGCGTGTGTGTTGCAGGTGGGTGTGTGTGGGCATGAGCGTTCACCGCCGCATGCAGCAGAGGAATGGCAGCAGCAGCAGGAACCCACCCGACATCACGGCCATTTTCTGCCATGCTTTCAACCACACTCCCAGCAGCGCCGACAGCAGCGGGCCTGAAGCATACCCGGCAGTATACGCCAAATTGAACATCCCCACTGCAAGTGCCACGTCGGATGAGCCTTCCCCAGCTGCCGCCCGTCTATCCAGCGCCTGGATTATGCACGGCAGGCTGGGGAACTCCACTAACGAGTACGCCACCCCTGTGAGTGCTATTAACGGGTATAAAACGTGCAGCTGGCAGGAAACGCCCGGGATTACCAGGAGAGGGAGCGACGCGGCGAGCGTGGCGGCACCGAGCGTGATTGTAGCGGGGGGACCGAGTTTCTGAATGAGGTAACCACCGAAGAGGAGAGAGAAGAGCGCGTAAGACGCGCCGTTGATTCCCATGGATATGCCAATCTCGGATGGGGAGTGGTCGCAGGTGTTATCTAGAAAGAACGAGACGGTGACCTCTAGGAGGCCGTTGGAGAGGGTTTGGAGGAAGGTGAGGGCGAGCAGGGTGGCGGATGTGCTGTCTGTGAGCATCGTGGCGAAGAGACGGAGCGCTGACAGCCGTTGATTTGGGCGGTGGTGCTTGGGTTTGGCGGGATCGACGGCTGACGGTTGTTGGGTGGAGTGGTGGGTTGTGGAGGGGTGGGGAGTGGTGTGTTTGTGCTTTTGCTTCTGGTGGTGCTGCAGCTGTTGCTCCTGCCACGCTTGTACTTTCGCTGATGGGGTGATTAGCTGCTGCTGGGGTGTCATCTGCTGCTGCTGCTGCTGCTGATTCATCTGTTGTTGCTGCTGGATATGCTGCTGGGCTTGCTCCTCATTTTTCTCTATCTGGTGCTGCTGTCTCGGGCTTCCCACGCCTAGAACCCCGATTTCCACGTGCCCTCTTTCCAAGGATCCCCTGGGGGAAAGCGGCACGTCCGCCGCCGCTGACCTGGATGAGGACCGCGCTGACGTGGAACGCGTTAGGGAGGAGCTTCTAGAAGGAATGGCGAAGATGGGCGCGCCTCGGTACACGACGGGCCGCTCCTGCTCCGACACCTGTAGCTGCCACGTGGGCAAGCTATCCGTGACCGGTGGCATTGTATCACTGTACCCGATATAAGCCCCTCCAGAACCGCCATTCGCCTTAGTACCAGCTACAGCAGGAGCTACACTTTCCACGTCAGCGACTTTATTGCGGCGCCTGCCGCCGCAGCAGCAGGGGAGGACGAAGAGCAGGAGGAACAGCAGCGCTGCGTCAATCCCGAGGGAGAAGAGGAACGGGACGGACGGCGACCCGAACTGGAACAGGAATGTCATTGTAACGGGGCCTGCGACCGACCCTACCGCCGCCCACGCGAACAGCATCGCGACCGCGCCGAATAGCAGCTCCCGTCCGCCTAATGCGGCCGCCGCGGTCTTTGGCGCTTCGGCGGCTGCTGCCGCGGCAGCGATGGCAGCGGGTTTTCCCTGCTGCGGGGAAGATGCTGACGTGGCGGTTCCTGCTTTCTCTCCTGCGATGACGGGCGCGGGGGACAGCGCGGGAACGAGGTCGGAGGGATGCGGGGAGAGTGCGCCATCTTCCCCCGGAAGAACTTGCGGAAGCCCTTTCTGTGCGGAGGCGGCGGAGGAGGGCTGGGAAGCGGGGGAGGCGGGTGGGGAGGCGGAGGCGGAAGCGGAGGCGGAAGCGGAAGGGGATGGAGAAGGGGAAGCGGATGGGCTGTGCGCGTGCGTGGCGAATGAAAGCGCGCCGGCGCGCACGAGTTGCGTGCAGATTCCCTGAAGCATGAGCGCGCCCGCGAGCCATAGCGGGCCCGCGGGATATGCGAGCAGCACGAGCGTCGCGGCGTAGAGCAGCAAAGTGACCGTTAGGCCGCAAAACGCGGTGACACACGAGAGCAACGGGCAGGCGGGCAGCGCGAAGAGAATGGCGGCTGTTGACCGGCCCGCGAGGAGAAGGGTTGAGGAGGTTTCGGGCAGGTGGAAAAGTTTGGCGAAGGACGGAAGGAGCGGCGCGATGGAGCTGACGTTGAATTGGTCGAAAAACATCGAGCCTGGAGGCACGGGGAACCGTCGTGGGGAAACGACGGATTGGGGGGAGGAGAAAGGGGGGAGGGGAGGGGGGGTGAGGAAGGGGAATGGATGAGGGGAAGGTATGGGAAAGCACGGAACCGGCAGGAGCCGCCGCGCGATGGAGCTGACATTGAATAGGTCGAAAGTTCATCCTAGAGAGGGGAGAAGGGGGGAGAGTGAGTGGTGGGAAGGTGGGGAAGGGGAGGGCGTGGATGAGCCGAATGCCAGCGACGGGAAGGGATTTCGAGAGAAAATATCGAAATGATTATAGTATTACTGCCGGTCATTTAGCCTGACACTGGAGGCGAGGGAATATGCCTCACGGCAACTGTCAGTGGCAAGGCAAGAGGGAAATGTCAGACCCATCGTATCGCTCGATAGACAACCTGCAGTCGACGGGCCACGGGGAGTCCCGCGGGGAGATGTCAGACCCGTCAGTCTTTTCTCGGAAGACACGCTGTTCGCACGATCGTTTGATAACCGTTTCACAACAGCGCGCATGGAAGGGTGAGATGCGTTCAGTTAGATTCGGGTAAGACGTTTGTTGAGATGTCTGAATTTGACATGTCTCAGTACCCTGTTTTGAAGAATGACTGAGAGACACGAAGCAACGGATGCGATAAACTAAGTGAGGGTAGATGATTTTTGAGGTTCTGCAACGTATCGAATGCGCGCAACGGTTCTTCAAGTTATTCAGAGAAAGTTAAGGACGTCCCAAAAGTACCTGCTAGTAGTCGGAGCAGGCACATGTCTTTACTCGACAGCCCCGAGTTTCTCACGCTCGAGCCGCTCATCGCAACTCCAGCTGCTGCTTCATCGGGAATCACGGCGGTGGAACCGCTATCCTTCTGCAAGCCTCCATAACATTCGCGTCCCGCATTCGTTGCTGCTTCTCTGGCCGGAGAGCCGCTAGCAGACTCAACGGATTTTCTTAGCGTCTCCTCTAATGTCATTTCCTCCCGCTTGGCGTTTGATTAGACCGACTTTTCGCCCTCTACTCGTCGAGTAGATCCCTTCGATCCGTCGACTAAAGCGGAACAACCAAAGCGTGGAGCGTTTCGCTTTCCTACTACATGCCTATTTTCTTCCCCAAAGGTTCGTAAGGCCGCCCAGTTGCTTGCCCTTGTCTCTGGTCGTTGCAAGCATTCCGAGCTTCCTGCCGAGCTAAGAAAGTCAAGTGAAAAAAAACGAGACTTCGACGGAACTCAGGTTTCGCAGTTCCTCCCTGCTCGCTCTCTTCCAATGGAACAATGGCTTGCGCAACGAGCCTCCGCCGCACTCCTCGATCGTCTAATTCGTGCGGAACACAAGAGGTCAAGAATTTGGCTCACTCATGCGGTAAAATCTGCCATCTGCTGTAAGAAAAACACGTTCGACTGCCAAAGCTACTCAGGAAGAAGTTGAAGAAGCACTGATAATTGTGGTGCGCCATGCCTGAAGTGCCTTGCGCGTTCCGATTCCCTTTTCCGCTCAGTCATAACGAGTCCAATCAAGGCTTGGAAAGTTGCTTATTGCGAACATAGGGGTGCAGAGCGGTAGTAGCTAATTGAGGGCTCGAATCGAACCCGCGATTTGATGCCGTGTGCTGCGGGAGCTTGCATCCACCGTTGAATCGCGTTCTTCACATGTCCATCGACGGCGCATCTGCAGCACGGCAGACGCGACTCGCAATTATTGAAGTGGCGAGGTCATTGAAAAGCAGATAAAGCCCATCTTGTCGATCATGCTCAGGCAAATCTTCGCTATAGGGCTCAGGTCCTACTGCGTATCATCCACTGAAACTTTCCACTCAAATAATATCGAAAATGTATAAGACTGGCTGCATCTGGTCTAGAAATATATAAAATATAGTGAAAGTACAGTTGCCAGAGAATTTCTTTTCAAGTAGTTGAATAGCACAACATATGTTTATTCGTATCACAACCTCAATCCAATTACACATCATCCAAAAACTGAATGAAATCAGCAAGCTCTTCCTCACTCACATACCTCGCTGCACTACCAGGAAGACTCGTACAACCACCACCTGTACTGCCATCACCACCACCGCCATGACCAAATTTGGCAGCACTAGCAGTCGCAGCAACAGAAGGAGAAACATGATTATCACCGGAATCATCATCAGCACGAGGCTCTACAGCACCAAGGGCACACGAGGGGTCAGATGCATGTACTGTTGTGTCAGCATTTCCATCTGCCTTGGGCGCAAGCACAGCAGCAGCTTCAGGTGCCACACCAACAGGTTTGACAGCAGGTTCAGGTTCAACAGTAGGTTCATCAGCAGGTTCAGCAGCAGGTTCGGCAGCAGGTTCGGCAGTAGGTTCAGCAGCAGGTTCAGCAGCAGGTTTAGCAGCAGATTCGGTAGCAGGTTTGGCAGCAGGTTCAGCAGCAGGTTCAGCAGTAGGTTCGGCAGCAGGTTCAGCAGCAAGTTCAGCAGCAGGTTCAGCAGCCGGTTCAGCAGCCGGTTCAGCAGCAGGCTCGACAGCAGGTTCAGCAGCAGGTTCAGCAGCAGGTTCGGCAGCAGGTTCAGGCACAATCTCTGCAGGTCCATGTGCCACAGCAGCAAGAGGATCAATGGCAGGTGACATGGCAGCAGGAGCATCAGCTCCCTCCACTTCCGCTGCCAATACCTCCTCCTGTTCTGTACCCTCCTCTCCCTTCTCTTCTATACCTCTTTCCCCTTGTTTTCTGTACCCTCCTCTTCCTTCTCTTCTGTACTCTCCTCCCCGTTCTCCTGTTCTGCTGCAACCTCCTCTCGCTGCTCCTTCTCCCCACCAAGAAGCCCAATATCTCCTGTCCCTCTGTCGCTCTCTGCTTTCCTTTTGTCTGCTTGCCCTTCTGCTTGCCCTTCTGCTTGCCCTTCTGCCTCTTCCACTATGCAGCCCTTCAGTCTCTCAACCCTTGCTTCGTGTTTGTTGCCAGACCCTTTGCCATCGGCACCAGCATGACCACTAGTATCAGTATCGGCACCAGCAGCATGGGCAGCAGTGTCAGCACCAACACCAGCACCAGCACCAGCACCGCCACTACCACCAGCGCCAGCAACCTCCTCCTCGTCCTCATCCTCGTCCTCTAGAATCACCCGTCGTCTCTTCGACTTCTGCTTCATGCCTGCACCCTCAACGTCAGGGGTACGCTTTCGAGCCTCTGCTGTGGTGTCCGCAAGTGCCTCTGCTGTGGTGCCGGCGCCCACACTGTCAGGGGCAGCCACAGGATGGCTTTTGAGGCGACTCAACAGCCTCTTGGCCTTGTGCTTCACGCCTGCGCCCACACCACCAGTGGCAGCCTCTCGGGCCTCTGCACTGGTGCCCGCGTCTATGTCATCCTCCATAAGAGCCTCCTCACTATCCTCGGCGGGGACATCAGGGACTGCAGCAGCAGGACTGTGGGCCTGGGCGGCAGCTGGAGTGGTGGCTGGAGTGGCGGCTGGTGTAGCAGATGGGTTGACAGTTGGCAGCAAGTTCCCTGAGATAATCTCACCGTCAGCACCTTCCACGTCACCATCTTCCACGTCACCATCTTCCACGTCACCACCTTCCGCGTCAGCACCTTCCTCGTCACAACCACTTTTCCCGTCCTCTTGGCCCCTTGAACCAGCATTCGCAGCAGAACCTTCATCAGGTTTTCTCTCAAGGTCGCTGTGACGGTTGGGACTTATTCCGTCACTCTTGCTGCTTGCTTGAGGGCTATCATTGCTCTGCTCCTCCTGCAGGGCGGACCCTTGAGTCGCCCCAACACGATGCCCACTATCATTCGCCTTGCTACCTAAACCGTGTTCCCCACCACCATTGCCACCGCCAGCACCGCCAACATTGCTACCATTGGCAGCAGCAGCACCATCGGCACCAGCAACACCAGTGCCAGTAGCAGCAGCAGCACCACCAACCCCGCCATTCCCAGAGCCCCAGTCATCATCCCAACCACCTCTAAGTCCAGGGAAGTCGTCATCAGGATGCTCCTCCTCTGCTGCACCTGCAGTGCCATTGCCAGCAGCAGCACCTGCGGCACCACCAGAAGCACCATTGACAGCAGCAGCACCAGTGCCAGCAGCAGCAGCGCCAGTGGCACCAGCAGCACCATTGGCAGCAGTTGCACCACCACCAACCCCGCCAGTCCCAAAGCCCCAGTCATCATCGTCATCATCCCACCCACCGCCAAGCCCAGGGAATTCATCATCAGGCTGCTCCACACCAGCTGTACCCGCAGTACCCCCATCATCTGCATCCGCACCCGCTGTGTCTTTGAATCGGTCGCTGCCGATGCCTCTCCCATGCTCAAAGTCGTCGACTAGATCACGAATGCCGGCCTGCACATGAGAGGTGGTGGAGATGACACGGTAGGTTAAAGGGCAGATACGTTTTAAGGCGTCTCAAAAAACGTTTCAATGCCTCTCCGTGCTCGAAGTCGTCGATAACATGGTACGAGGCGAGTCACACGGAGCAAAACTGCGTACAGGAAAATATCTACATGCAACTGAATGAACTCGTTATTCATTTAAATAAAAATTTAGCACAAAACATTTCCTTCGCAAGAAGAAAATCTAGAAGGAAGAGAAAGAGAAATAACAAAAAATCTGCACGACCATTTTAACTCCTTCCAAAAAACGAAGATTCAGCACTCACCCTGACGCTGCGCGTGCTCCCGAGTTTTTCCACCTTCTCGATAAACTCGGGGAAGGAAAGCGCCGGGAAGAAGCGCTTGTGCCACCCCACGTACCCTTCCAGGATCCTTCGCAGGTCCCCCACCTGTCAAGGCAAAGGCACACACACACACACACACACACACACACACACACACACACACACACACACACACACGCACACACACACGCACACGCATTCGCACACGCACGCCCATGCCATGCACATGCGCACGCAATTGAGGGGACTTGCGGCCGACACACAGTACACACCTAGGCCATGCCTCACCTCGTGTCCCTTGCCCCGCAGCTTGATCTGCGTCGGCAGCCGAAGCAGCACTCCTGAGCCAGCTCCCACTCACCTCGTGTCCCTTCCCTCGCAGCTTGATCTGCTTCGGCAGCTCTTTCAACACGTACGGCCCCGTGCGACAACAGCGTCGTCGAACTGATAGCAATCCCCGCGAGTCTTTGCGATCCCCACGAGGCACATTTGGACCCAGTTTCACTCACCTCGTGTCCCTTGCCGCGCAGCTTGATCTGCTTCGGCAGCTCTTTCAGCCCGTAAGGAAGCCCTTCATCCGACAGCAGCATCGTCTAGATTGCAACAGTCCTATGTGGGCCTCCAGTGGACACAGAACACACCTGCGTCACTCCCCACTCACCTCGTGTCCCTTGCCCCGCAGCTTGATCTGCGTCGGCAGCTCGTTCAGCACGTAAGGAAGCCCCTCGTCCGACAGCAGCATCATCACACTCACGGCAATCCCGAGGTGAGTTCCCGATGGTCACAAACACACCTGGCCCACTCCCAACTCACCTCGTGCCCCTTCCCCCGCAGCTTGATCTGTTTCGGCAGCTCCTTCAGCACGTAAGGAAGCCCTTCATCCGACAGCAGCATCATCGGAGTCAGCTTCGGCCGCTTCCGCGTCACCTTCGACCCCACCGCCGCCGCCGCTGGCGCGCTTTGGTTGAGCGGATCCACTTTGTCGGCGCCATCCATCCCTTCGCGCTGCGCATTTCCGTCCGGAGCATTGGAAAAACCGTTGTATGGCCGCTTTCCCTGCGGGGTGGCTGAACCAAAAGGCCGCTGATTGGGGGACGCGTTATGGTTGTTCGCCGCGTTACTGGGCGGAAAGCGGGTCGCGGAGTCGCGCGCTTCGGTGTTGCGATTTTCGGCGGCGCGGCCGGCGTCATTGCCGGCAAAACTGCAGTCCTTGGACCAGTGACCTGGCCGGCCGCACTTGTAACAGCCCGTCGCTTCGAAGACGGTCGGCTTGGCTGCGGGGAAACTCGTCCCTCTCACGCCGCTCGTCGCCATGGCTCCCTATCTAAAAGAACAGTCGGGGAAGGCGAAGCATACTACACCGATTTCGCCTTACGTGAAGGCTGCCTCAAGGTGAACAGGAAACACGAAATTATCAACCTCTAATACTCCAGCCGTATCTAATGACCCGAGAGTGTGGAACCACGATTTCATGCTACAATTAGGTATGCAATATGATCAACGTGCACTAAGATCGCGCAGTCGAGAAAGTCGTGCGAGAGAATCAACTGGAGCCAAACGAGTTGAAGAGAATTGTCTGCAGTGTGCCATCAACCTATGGGGGGGAGGGGATTGGTTGCAAGGGCCAGTTCGTGAATTCCCTCCCGAACAAACTGACTGAAGCTCAACGCGCAGCGCGAATTTGAATTTCGAGTTTTTGGATTACTGTATCGGCTTCGACCTACCGGCATCTTCGGTTGCGGTCAGAAAATCTTAGAGAACATGCTGGTGATGAAAAACGTTCTGGAGATAAAAAAAAGTCCACAGAAAAGTTCTGGTGATGCCAGAAACGTTATGGTTGCGTTTCAAGCCAATATTAGTGGAAGGGAACGTTCTTGGCCGGTGTCAGGCGGGCTGACACGAAGCTGTGAAGGGTCTCGATTCGATTGAGGATGATGTGGAGCGATCGCAGCCGTCAGTAGCCTTGTGTCAGGGAACTTGACACCGGCCAAGAACGTTCCCTAAGTACTATCACATTGTTCTCTTCCTGTTGCCCTCATCCAGCGTCACTTATTTGGTGACTGCTATTCAAACACGACAACGGTCAGCTCAATCCATGTCACAACACATCTTACATGCGGTACTGTACCTTCAATTCGCTAACTTTGTCCAGCCACTAGCACAAACTCTACTCCTCCCCAACTGTGTGACTCCACCCGAATCCAATCCTCCTCATCTGCTCTTGCTGCCACGCCCTCTGTGGAATCTGTTCCCTTGACCATGACTGACGCAGCGTCTGACATGGCAGCTGATGTGACACTTGGTGATGCAGGGAAGAGGAGGGAGTGCCCTTCGTTTTGGAACACGGCCTCTCCTCGCGGGCCAAACATCGCCACGCCCTATGAGTGGGAATGAGGTGTTGATGGAGCGGGCATAACACGTGCGAATGGGTGGGGTATCAGTAGGTTAGCAGAGAGTGGCAGTAAGGACAAGCAGCAGCAAAGAAGCAAGAAAGGGGACGTGAGCAGGATTTACACAAGGTGGAGCAAGGAACAGTTGTGACAGTGCTTTACTAAAGAGATGGCATACGGAACTTGCTGGCTTGATATGAGAAATCTATAAAAACGAAACGAGGGAAGTAGGAAGTCAGGTATGACGCATGCACCACACACACAAACACGCACAAACACACACATACATGTCCACACTCGGGCACACAGAAGCATGCAAAACAGCGTCGCACTTACAATCCAGGCAGCCAAATGAATTCTCACTCTCATACATGCAATGCAGGCCAGCCCACCTCTAGGACGTATATGAGGGCGGACTGAGTGGGGGCCAATGGGATGTTGACAGCTGTCCCTGGCCGCATGAACACGTGCAGCATGAGCTGCGGGATTCGGGGAATGCGAGGGAGGGTAAGGGGAAGGGAGGGGGTAAGGCGGGGAGGAAGAATGGAGGGAATGGGAGGGAATGGTAGGGAGGGAATGGGAGGGAGGGAATGGTAGGGAGGGAATGGGAGGGAATGGGAGGGAATGGGAGGGAGTAAAAGGCTGCTGGGAACGAAGGAGAAATAGAGAGGAGAAGATACGAAGAGTGAGGATGTGCAAGGAGAGAATGGGAGTTGGAAGGGGTGGAGAGGGATTGGAGGGGTTGTGGATGTCTGGGATGTTGAGTGAGAGTGCAGATGAAAGTAGAGTAAGGAAGCGAGTGGGGAAGTGACAAGGGAGAGAGGGAGTGAAGAATGAGGAAGCAATTAAGTGAGGGAGGAATGGATACAGCGAGCAAGACAGTGTTAAGATAAAGTGACGTCGGGACCAAGGGAGTGACAAAATTAGAAGCGATAAAGCGACAGAAGGGAGTGACAAAATGAGAAGCGATAAAGCGACAGAAGGGAGTGACAAAATGAGAAGCGATAAAGCGACAGAAGGGAGTGACAAAATGAGAAGCGATAAAGCGACAGAAGGGAGTGACAAAATGAGAAGCGATAAAGCGACAGAAGGGAGTGACAAAATGAGAAGCGATAAAGCGACAGAAGGGAGTGACAAAATGAGAAGCGATAAAGCGACAGAAGGGAGTGACAAAATGAGAAGGGGTTGATAAGGCGAGAGCAGGAGGAAGCAGATTCAGACAGGGGGACGTCCCTGAACCGAGTTTTGAGACGCCTCATAACTCAGTTTCAGAAAGGGGTTGAGGGAGCGAGAGTGGGACTGACAAAGTGTGAGAGGGGCGGCGGAGTGCACACGTCCCTGAACCGCCCAGCCACCACCCGAACCTGCGCTGCCCCCGACACTTGCGCCTCCCTCTCCGCTCGCGCGCTTCTCCCATCCGCCCCTCCGCCTCCCCCTTCCTCCCCTCCGCTTCCCCCTTCCCCCCCTTCCCTCGATCCAGGGAGAGCAGGGGCGGCAGGGAGGAGCACGCAGGGCGCAAGAGCGGCGGAGCGGAGGTGAGAGAGGATCAGATGGGGGGGAGGGGGAGGGAGGGGGACGGAAGAGGCTGAAGAGGCGGAAGTGGGGGGCGAGGGGGATGAGGGGGCGGAAGCGGGGGCGGGGGAGGGCAGATCATCATCCCCCCGCAAGATTTTAACGTCTGACGCCCAGAAAACTTCGATTCCGCGCCCCTGCGTTTGCCCTCCCCCTCCCGCGTTCCACTCCCCTTCTTCCCCCCAGTCAATCTCCCCCCAATCTTCCGCCTCTTCCCCCCACTCCTCCTCATCCTCCGCCTTTCCCGCTTCCGCCAGCATGAACACTAGGGACTCAAGCGCGCGTCCCGGGGGAGCGGGGGGAAGCGCGAGCGAGGGGAGGGAGAAAAACTCGTCAACCGCAATAACGGGGGAAAGGGGGGATGTTGCGCTGGTTGCTTCCCCGCTTTCCGCCTCTCCTCCTTCCCGCTCCCGCCTCTGTTTCTCCGCGGACCAAATGCGCGCGCAGTGTCCCCCTCGGCGGAAACTTTACTCGCGGTGATCGTTTTCGTTGCGCGCCTGCTCACTCCCCCTCCGCACTTTCGCGCAGCCTGCGCAGTCTCCGCTGCTGCAACCGTTCCGCCTCCCCCTTCCGCTTCCGCCGCACAGGTGGTGCGTAACCGCCGGCGCGGAGTTTCGCGGGGCGCGCCATTAGAGAATTTCCCCGTTCCTCGTAAACGTACCCTTCGTAAATTCAAATCGTCTACATTCAATCCACTTGAATGTACTCGAATTCCGAGAGTACGAACACCATCTGACCCACAGTGCACCGCGTCACTACTGGAGCAATGTGACCGTTGCTTTTGGCGGCAACCGCTGAAGTCGAGCCACGAAACCTGCCGACCTTGAAATGCTGAGGAGCGACGCGAGGCTAACGGCGACAGAACGTCGACAACAGTCCTCGGAGGGCTGAAAAGTGAAGGGGAAGCCATGGATTACAAAATACTTGAGGACAACGAGGCAGGCGAACGAGGCAGAAAAGTAAGGACAACGCTTTCCTCGATACTGCCGAACCTAAGGTGTGAGAGTCATGCACTCAAATTTGCGTTACAGAGCGAGCTAAGGATGCTTGGAACTAGAAGGATATGGTTGAGATGATGGAACTACGAAACACAAAGAGGAGATAAAACGGAAAATGGATTGGCAAACGAAAAAGGCTGAAAGAAAACAACAATGGGTGGTATGGTAACATGCACTACACATCGCCAAGAAATAATGCAGTATAGGATATGGTGAACATGACAAAGGCTTCACTCCACTATACTTAAACCTAGGTCACATGGAACACCACTTACGATACAACGTCTACCTCCGGCATCGCCCTCAACCACTCTGGAACGCCCTTCACCGCCCTGCATTCCCGGATCTCCACTTGCCTAATCCTGGGCAGCTGGCTCATTGTCTTGGGCAGCTCGGGAAGTTTAGGCAGACTTTCCAGCTCTAATCATTCCAGGGATGAAAGTAACCCTAGATTTGCTGGTAACTCCTCGAGTTTCCCACAGTCCGTTATGCTGAGCTTGGCCAATCGGGGAAGTTGGGGGAACGAGTCAGGCAGGCAGTGCAGCAGTCATGCAGGGTAAATTGCTCCAGGCGGGGCAGCTGCCCAAAAATCAGGCAGAGCAGCGAGACCGGGCAGGCTAGAAAGTTTTAAGGTCCGGAGGCTGGACAAATGGCCAAAAGTTGGGGGGAGGGACGAGAGGCGATCACAGGAGGAGAGAGTGAGGGAGGTGAGGGAGGGGGCTAAGGGAAGGGAGGGTGGTAGCGTGGCGAGGCTGTCGAGTTGAGAGAGATGGAGGGAGGTGAGTCGAGGTAGCAGGTTGATGGTTGAAGGTAGGTGTGTCAGCGATTCACAGTCCGTTATCGAGATTGCTTCTAATGAGTACATGGCAGCCATGCCATGACGCCGCTTCACATCCTCATGCCACTTGTTTCCCACATCTCCCACCTCTTCCACCGCCCTTTTTCCCTCCCCCTCCTTCCCCCGTTTCCCCTCCTCCCCCTCCCATCCCCTCTCCCGTTCCGCTTCTCCACCCCCCTCCCCCTCCACATCTTCTCCTGTCTCTACTGTGCCTCCTTCCCAAAGGGACGTCAGGGACGCACAGGATTGGATGACCAAGGATTGCAGGGAGGAGAGCTGGCAGAGAGAGGAGGGGAGGGCGGTCAGCAGGGGGCAGTGGCTGATGTGGAGATCAGTGAGGGAGGGGGCGAGGAGGGAGAGGGAGTGGGGGATGGAGGCGACGTGCGAGAGGTGTGAGAAAGTGAGTGCGGCGAGGGAGGAGAGGGAAAAGAGTGAGTGAGGGAGGTGGGTGATGTGCGTGTTGTGCTTCAAGTCTATGTGAAGCGACACCAATCCTATCATCCCACCGGACCCTTCAAGCCTGTTTGATCCGGCAGCAGCAGCAGCAGCAGCGCCAGTTACCACATCTGTACCCGTTAGAGCCACACCCGTTACATGAGCATTGGGTGCGGTGTGAAACGGGAGGAGGCAGAGATCAGAGAGTCCGTGCAGTTTCAAGTGGAGGAGAGAGGAGGCGCGAGAGAGGAAGGCAGGCAGGTGGGAGATGCGAGGACAGTCGGAGACAGTGAGAGAGTGGAGAGAGGGGAGAGGAGGGGGGAATGGGGGAACAGTGTCAGACTGAACAGTGTCATGATGAACAGTGTTATCCCCGTCAAAGAGTGACTCCATTTGGCCGTTACCGTGCAGAATCAGCTCCTGTAGAGACAGCAGGTGCATCCATGCGCGAGGCAGCGCGGTGAGACGCGCGCAGAGAGAGGCGCGCAGGCAGGTGAGCGATGGCAGGAGGGGGAGGGGCGTCTGGGAGGTGGAGGTCGTGGTGGTGGTGGTGGTGCTGCTGCTGCTGCTGCTGCTCCACCACTGCTGTTGCTGCTGCTGCCAAGGATGCCACTGCCGCCATTCCCCCCACCTGTTTCCCCATGCGCAACGAGTCGCAAAGCCACAGGCGGAGAGGGCAGGCGGGTGAGCGCGTCACATGCGACGAGATGCAAGGAGCGCAGGGCGGAGAGCGCGGTGAGGGACGCGGGGAGACTCTGCAGCGAATCACAGAAGGAAATCTCCAGATGGTGCAGCGAGTGGGCGAGGAGGTGGAGGGAGGCGGGGAGGGAGGCGATGAGTGGGAGGAAGAGGAGAGCGAGGGAGCGGAGGTGGGGCAGACGGCAAAGCTCGTCCGGGAGAGAGGAGAGCGCGGGGCAGTTGGAAATGGTTAAGTCAGTGAGGGAGGCGGAGAGAGAGGTGAGGGTTTCCGCGGGTATCTCCTGCATCTGCTTCCACCCGAGTAGCTCCAGACGGGCCAGTCCTACCTTGCTCTCCTTTTGAGACGTCTCAAAAGTCTCCTGCATCTGCTTCCATTCGAGTAGCTCCAGCCGGGCCCGTCCCACCCTGCTCTCCCTCGCATCCTCCTTACAAGGTGCCCCCCCTTCCGAAACTGCCCCGGAATGACCGTTTTCCGCTTCCTCCGCTACGCCGGGAGCAGGCGGGGGGGATGCGGAGAGGAGCGCGGGGAGAGGGGTGCGCAGGGAGGGGAGGTAGGCGAGAGTGAGCGCGCGGAGGCGGGGGAGGCGCGCGGGGAGGCAGGCGGGGACGGCGGAAAGCAAGGCGCATTCGCGCAGCTCTAGGGTTTCGAGAAGGGGGAGTGCGGTGGGGAGGGATGCGGGGAGCGCGCGGAGAGCACGGCAGCGGTCGAGGGAGAGGTGGCGGAGGGTGGAGAGCGTGGGGAGGGGAAGTGCGGGGGAGGGAGTGTTCGAGAGGGATAGAGAAGCGACGGGGGCGAGCGAAGTAACCATCGAAGAGTTATCATCCTGAGGCAGTATGCTACTATTCTGACGAGCGACATTCTCCAATCCGTCTGCTGCGTTCGCATACGCGGCATCTAAGATGCGCAGATCGTTTGGTCGAATGGAAGGCTCTACAGTCTCGTCGATGTCCGTCGCGAAGGCGGCTGGAAGCTTCTCTAGAGCTTCTGAGTCGATCGATAAACTGACGAGAGCGGAAAGTTGACGGAATCCGTCAGGAAGGCGTTTTAGTCCCAGAGCGGTGAGTTTTAACGCCGTCAAGCGAGTCAGCCCGC